TAATTTCGCACCTTCTGGAAGGAAGGCAGCAAAACGTGGAAGGATTCGTGGTAGTGCGTCGTACTATTGACAGAACAACGGTGCAATATGATGTCTACCATGCACCTTGTTTTTAATTCTTGTGTTTTCTTGTGTTTGCGACTCTGGCTCAGCTTATACCAGTGTATTATATGTTCGGCGGTTTTGGGTAGCAATACATACCAAATGGCCGTGTATCACTCGAGACATCCACATAAAAGAACGAATCTACGCACACACACACACACACACTACACCGGGCTACGAAGCAAGAGACAGTAGATGGTGCAACTTGTAGGTTTGCATGTGCACCTGCTTGCACACATGCATGCATGCATACATACATGCATACGTACGCCGGAATTATCTCAACTGAGGTCGTGAGAATACACGACACCCCGTGTTGGACGCTATGTAGCAGAAATACAGACCAGCAACGAAATTACACACAGCCGGGCAAAGCATTCCCCAAGTAGACGCCTGAATTTATGCCAGCAGCGAACATGGGTCAACTGCCGGATTTGCTGCAGGCGCCGGTGTATTTGCAGTAAGTTTACATGTGCGTCAGACGCTCATCACCATGTAGATGCTAGAATCATCAACTAACTCAGGAATCTCTAGTTCGAGGTAAACCGAAACTCAACGCTCCTTTTGCCCTCTCGCGGGCTTAAGCTCATCCTTCCGTCGGCTCAAGACTCAAACTCAAACAGCTCCAACCTGAAACCGTTACACTCAGCTCACAGCCCTGACTCAGGGACAACCATCGAAAGGTGCCCTAAGTCGACAGTTGCATGCACGTACTAGAGGTCGCTTTATCTCGCGTTGCTAGTTTTGTCCACGTCAATCGGCGACCAACACAAATGAAAGCAGTGTCTGATGTTGTAGCAGAGTTGGCGCCTTTGCTGTTTGGACAGCGTCTACATGGTGTTGCGGCATGTTTACGGGGCAGCGAATGGTTGTCAGCCTCGTTAGCAGCAGTAGTATTTGTAGCTTGCCGTTCAAGTGCATGTATGCACCGTGTGACAACTTGTTCTGCTCCTTTTTCATTAGCTCTGCTGGCAAGGGGCAGAGTGAGGAAGGCAGTGGCACTGCAAAGCGCGAGGCTGCCTTCGGTGATCAAATACCTATCGCTTAATTAATGTGAAAGGTGACGATACAGGCTCGGCGCTGCCTGGAAATGCACAAGGGCCGGAGGCAAAAAGTATCAGCACCCTTCCTTTACAATGTAATGTTTGCTAACTGAGCTGCGTGCAAAACGAACAAACACATATTCGCATTTGTGTGTGTGTATGTATATAAACATAAAGCTACACATCACAGTATACATCTAGATACATTTATGCATTCATGCATGTCTACTGCGTGGGGCCCTCTCATGGATTTCTGCCCACGGCACTTCGCAGGATGCATGATTGTTGCAAATGCGGCAGAATGCAGCCTTCCTGCGGTCTATCCTGTGCCACAAAACTTTGCTACATGCAGGCCGGGAGGCTTCGCAGAGACAGGCAGCACCTCCTCGTCCGCAAGGACGCGGCCAAAGAGCAAAAGCTTCAGCCGCCCCCTGAGGCCAAGACAAGACAAGCAAGGTAACAGCCGATGCTAACTCCTGCACCCTGTTGCATCTCGCTAAACCCTGAACCGAACCCCCTTTTGTAAGTAACCAAACCGAAGCTGGGCCCCCAGCGGGCGGACGTGCGGTGTGAGTTCCTTCCAGAGCCGTTTCTTCAGCTGCCGGGTGGTGATGTGGACCTTATCAGGGCTTGGCGTTCGCCTGCGGGTCTCACACTCTCGAATGACCACTGCACTTCGGTAAGGAAGCTCCCCCTGCCTCAAGAGCTCAAGGTTTCGGATTAGGTAAGGAGCTTGTGTTTTGTGGCTTGGGTTTGCGAGCAGAGCGCACAGCATGCTTCATGAAATCAAGTAGTTGTGAGCAGCCGGTTGCACGTGTGCACATCTAGGCGCGAGATATATGATGTACACTGTACACAAATACATATATATATATATATTAATTATATATGCATGGACGTGCTCATCAAACTTATGCAGCGCAGTTCAATCATGCCAGTGTGCACGGCAGTGCAAAAATTGTGGCGAGGACCACTGAAGCTTTCGGGCACGAAACCGACAGGGCCCAGAACCAAGAACACACGCGCATACACTCGCAACACTGACATCCTGGGCACACACAGCCGAAATCAGATTTGACAGCCTCGACGAAAATTTGAGTCCACGAAACAAAGGCAACACTGCAGTATCTTTCAAACCTCCATACTGTCAGATTTGTCGAGTAGCATCAACAGATGCGCGGGCATGCTCTCTTACAAAGTGATTGTGCCGATCCGGAGCAAGCAAGAACCAGAACTGGTGCTGATCGCATTCATAGGAACTGCGAAACACGACGGTCAGCTCAGGTATAGTATCATTTAGGATCAGTATCATGAAATCTCACAGGGCGGAGACGCTACAAAATCAAACCGCCGTGCGGTGACATGCTGTCGTAGGACACCGGATCAAGCAAGTGATAGCAATGGCACAACGCTTGCAAACGGCGATACTCCTTCATCCGAAGCAACACCACGACACCCGAAGAAAGCGCAAGGATTGCAGTAGCAACAAAGCTAAAAGTGCGCATCTGCATCCTCATCATCATCCCCTGTGCCTGAAAAGCCTTTGTTTCAGCACAGGCTTTGGGTGTATTGAATCAAGGTCTTCACAAGACATCAGCAAGCTTCAAAATGAACTCATTGCCCAGCATCTGTTTTGGGGTGCCACAAAAACCTTCCTTACGCCCCGACTAGGCTTTGAGTAGGGCTTGCACCGGAACTTGCAGTCGCACCTCGGCTTCGCCCGGCCTCGGAGAGGTAGCCGACTTCTTCCAGGTTCCCAAGATGGACTTTGTGTGAAAGGTACGGCGGTTTCGGTTTGAGAGGTCTGTGAATGACTTTGTATCTAGAGATTACGTTACAAGTAGGACTCCGTAGAAGGAGCCTATACTCTTCTTTGGGTCTCTTGCCTTTCGTGAATTAGGAGCTCTGACGCTGCAAAGGGTAGAATTGCTCCCAACCGATGTTTCAAGTCTGCTTACCTGCCACCTCCATAGGCCAACTTGCATTGCCATTTCGCCTGAGTAGTTAACTTTGACGTAAACTGTCCTACGATATGTCCGATATATGTGCCCGCACTACAAGCGCCTGTTGTTCGGGCCTTTGGAGGCTTTGTGCAACTGAGTTGATGCCTCCTTCCTTGGAGCCTGCAGGCCCACATCACTTGTTCTTGGGTTGCGGCCAAGAGAATCATGCCAAAGCAAAAATCAAACGGTAGATGTTTGGAAGTGCTGCTTCCGCAGGTTGAGCGGGCCCTGCCTTTTTTACCAAGCGGCTCGAGAAGCGTCAAACAAGGTCAGGGCAAGGGAAGTGCAAGGCATGAGACTTGGGGCCTTGGGGATTCGGGCGATGTGGTACCCCAAAGGAAGAACACAACATCACACACCAGTTGCAGACAGAGGGTCCTGCAGCACCAGGCAACTCGCTAAGGCACAACCAAACGCTGCAAATCGAATCTGCTGATGGGGTGGTTTCTAAATTTCGAAAGAACACCAGGGTCATCAGACCTGTATAGCAAGACTGCGCCTTTGCATGTTAAGGTCCCGGTCTCTCGTCCAATTTAGTCCCGGACTGGGCAGTGATGCAGATTTCGACCTCCGGGAATCACCCTGCAGCTAAAGTCATTCGCTTAAAACGACACCGAAGCAAATACTTCACGCAAGTCCTTTCAACACGATACCGGTAATGAAACAACACTGAAGTAGTGCCGACAATCGTACAAAGGCGTTGGAGCACGAGGCAGGAAGCTAGATGTCGATGGCTCTGGATGCAACTGTTTCCTGGCCCTTCGGCGCACAGAGTACCTCAAGGCCGTCACCCATTTGCTTGTACAAGAATTCCTGCCAGCTGAAAGGGAGCCCTGCTGATACAAACTGCACTGCTTTCTGAGCCCCTCCCCCTGTGCCTGTTCGCCCGCTCGCGGGCTCTCTGCCTGTGCCGAAGCGCTTTCGTTCGGTTTGCAAGGTCGGGAAAAGTGGGAAGTTAAGGTTTAAGTTTATGATTGGAATAGGACCTGATGAGGTAAACTGTTTGGACAAGAGAAAGCAGGATACTACAAGCCAACATCTGCAGGCACAAGCTCGAGCCGCGGCCATTAAAGGTTTGCTAGAGAACAGACTTCAACAAAAACTGCGGTGCAAGCCTGCTGACGAACAAGTAAAGGCTCGACGGTAGGCTAGCAGTTGGTCACACACTCAATTCCACGTACATATGCGCCTCAACAAGGAGTTCGAGTCACAGTCCACACAATCCACCCTTTTGGTTCAGCGGCATCCCAGGTGCAAAGCTGACATCATCCCCATAGGCTCCAGGTATAGAGCCCAAGCAACCTTTGAAGTCGGGTGTTCGCTCCTTAATCGCACCCCCAGGAAGCACCTCCGAATACACAAGCACCGATCTTGCCGAGGACTAGGCCATAGAGGCTCGCCAGAACCATAACTACTGTATCCGGCAGAAACCCCACTGCGCGTGAGACTGCGAGCAAACACCATCTACGAGGACCCCTCCCCGTCGTAGGTATTGCAATGCAGCAATGAGCGAGGTTCTCTCATAGGGTCCCTTGCTTAGGCAGTCTCTTTGGGGGACCCAAGATTCAAGAAGGGAGGACCCTAATTTGGAGAACCACCCATGTGCCGCAGGTTGCAGGCGCCTGTTGTAGGGCAAGCTGAGCACCACTGAATTTGAATCGCATGTCCACTCGCCAAAGCGGGCATCGACCCCCGTGAGCACATGCTGGACTGCGGCTTGAGGAAAGATGCACACCATGTGGGGGGTCTCCTACTTTACTGTCCTACTATGCTACCACGATAGGAAGCACGGACCCCAGCATGACCCCAAAGCTGTACACTCGCCGCACCCATGAAGCGCAGCAGCACTTCACAGATCAGAGAGGCGAGAAGATCGCAGGATCTCGGGCACATCATGGCTCGTCCCCGACTCTTGCGAGCATCGAAGAAGCTCCGCAAGTCGCTCCATGGTCATGTCAGGCCCGTCAGGCTCGCTGTGTCCTGGCAGGCTTCCCCGCGCTGAAACTCTTTCTAAACAGCAGACAGCAAGCCCTGTGAAAGGCCCACTGAGGCCCGCAATATCTGGCAAGGCATTTGGATGAATCCAAGAGTCGGGTATCGCCGGTCGGCAGAGTCGTGTGGGACATGTAGAACTGGCGCAGATGTTTGTGAAAGTCCTGCCAGGTAACCAGGTAAACAGAAGTAGTGGTCCATAGCAGCGAAACCCGTCGTCGCAAACTCCACCTGTTTCCATCTGAGTCTGAGGATGCATGGTGATCCATCCCCTGCCTCAAGCCTTTATTCAACCCAAGAAGCTTTCCGGCTTTCGGCCCTGGCCTCCCAAGCCTGGATCTGCTCTGCCATGCCGGTGCCGTTCACTTCGCGCTTCAAGCGCTCCTGCCCCGTCCCTGTTGCGACTGCAGAACGCAGGGCCCCTCAACCCGTAGAGTAGTTGTAGTAGTTGTACTAGTGTTGCAACAACCTCGACACATTTTGTGGTGTTCTTTTCTCGAAACCAAAACATCTAGCGAATCTTAGAAATTGACGTTCCGGTAGTAAAAATGGAAGCAGAAATGATAGTGAAGGGTGGTGGGGGTGGACCACCACCACCACCACCACCACCACCATCACCACCACCACCACCACCACCACCACCACTACGACGCCGAAGTAGCACTAGCAGCCGTCGTCGTAGTCTTAGCAGCCGTAGAAGCATAGTAGCCGTAGTAGTCCTGTAGCAGCTGTGCTGTCCATCCCCTAGCATCCGGACCAACAGCAAGGCTGCCGGAGGTTTTTTCCCGCGGAGGTCCTCGCGCAAGCAACTCTGCATCTCGGAGCGAAGGCCCTGGGCGAGGGGTGGTTTTGGGGATCGAAGGGTTCAGGGCTTTTTCTATAGGGTTTTTAAGGTTTAGGGAATCAAGTCAGGAATTCTTAGAACCCCCATGACCATCAGCAATGCCATGATCATCCTCGCTACTCGTCTGACTGAGAGACCTGCGGCTTCTTCATGATTTCATCTATTTGATGATTCAGCTCAATACGGCACTAACCAAAATAGATTACAATAATATACTATCATATGCTCTAATATATGAGGTCTATAATCTGCTATGCTTGCTACAATAGACTCCCCCTGAATCTGCGAAGCTGCACACCTCGGAACCCTGTACTGAGAGCTCAAACGGCCCCTCAACCCCTCAACACTTCTGAAGCCCTCATGAGAACCTTATTGAAAACCTTGCAGAACCCTTATGAAATCCTTCTGAAAAGCCACATAGGACCCCTGCAAAACCCTATCCAAAGCCCCCTCCATCCATAAAGACACCCCAAATTCAAAAGGAAGGCCAAGTCACCTGGAGCCCAGTGTCCAGGCTGGCTTCGAGCTCCTTCTACACTGAACTTGGGACCCTACTTGGTAGCAAAACTAATACTTTTGGCTTAATCAGGGTTATAGTAACTCACAATTAGGAATTATTTCTAAGTGCCCCTAAGTCTTTACGCTCTGGAATTTCGACTCTTACACTCGCGCAAGGCAGGCAAGGCTCCACAGGACCAAGCTCACACGAGCGGTGACCGAGAGTCTGCACAGCAAACAACCAGCATGCACCACCCAATACATGCAAAGCACCCCCAATCACTACCACTACATTGTCACTACATCAGACACAAGGCTGAGACCTTGCTCAACTGTTTCAAAGCAACTCCTCCGTACCCAGGCTTACGCACACCCACGTTCGGGCTACGTAGGGATGCTTGCCTCATGCCCAGGGCCTACTACAGTGAGAATGAAGAGTTGGAATGAGTTGAATAGGCGTAGGTAGATGTAGAGCTGGGTTTATGATTGCTGGCATCGTCTAGCTGAAAAGTTTCTGCATAGTTTTCAGCTCGCACACTCCAGTTTGAAGGCTCGGATCCGGACCACCGGTTGCTCTGACAGGCCGCACAGGCCATCAAGGACCGGTCCGGCTTCAAACTTTAAACCCCAACCGGCAGACGACACAAAAGCACTCTGTGTGTGCAGCTGTGCACAGGGAAGACAATCAGACCGGTTGTCCTGCAATTGCCCCTGCAGGGCTCGGACGTTGCCTTTTGCCTCACGCCAGTCCTGAAGTCGCTGGTCCACTTTACTTGAAGGCCCGCAAACCAAGTATCCGAAATCCGAGCAACGAGTAACACAGTTTGGCTCGGGCCTCGCCTACTCCGAATGCCTCTCATGACCCCTTAGAAGCATGAGTGTGGACAGCTTGGCAAACCGTGAGCCCTTCAAGCAGCAAGGATGTTTTAAAACCACTGCATTCCCTGCATCCCAAAAGCACTGCCTGGCGGACGCTGTGCCAGGCGCCCTCAACACGGCTGACACGCTCACCCAGACCTGGTGGCTCGGGTGAACTCGGGTGGGCACCAACTGACGTTTCTACGGATACAGTGGGCTTGGATGGAAGGACAGCCGTCAGAACAGCTGATTCTCCGACTCTAGAAAGCTATTCGCACCGTTGAAGAACCCACCGAGAACAGGTCACTGCAGGTTGATATCTGAGGCCCACACCGCCCGCCAAGCTCTGCAAGTCTGCATTGATTGCCCTGGCTTGCTCTTGCCTGTCCGTGGTCTCCTGGCTTTGAGAAGCTGCGAACTACCAGTAAACCTGGCTCTGCCGTGCTGGAGCCATAAACGGGATTCGAATGCGACTGCCTGAATGGATGGTCAGTGTCGGCTCCTTGCTCAAGTGCTCCAGCATTGCTTTCTGGCTCTCCTTCCAGTCCAGGTGGCTCACGGCCACCTGCTCACTGACCTTGGGGAGCGAGATCCACCAAGGCTTTTTGCAGCGAGGAGGAGGCATATCGAACTCTCACATCTCGGGCATGCCAGATGCTCTGCACGATTAAGCCATTGTTGCATGTGATACCGGCCAGTCCGATCACCCTGATCTGGGCCACGTACTGAAGTCGCGATTCTGGAGGTCTCCGTTTTCAGCATCTGGTCCAAAACCTGACCAAGGGCTCTGAAACCCTGTTGAAAACACTACGGACTGCCTGCTGCGGGCCGGCCTCCACCATGGAATGCCGTGCTGCGATCTCCTGCAATCAGCATAGTCAGCATTCCACACGTGAACTCCACCTGGACTTTGATCAACTATGAGGCTCGTAGACTCGCTACAGTATCTTAAACAGCATGCAGAGAAGAGCCAGCTACCATCATGTCCTGGTTCAAGCTGACCTTGAGCAGCTTGTCGCTATTCTCAAGATCCTGGGGCAGAGAGTAGAAAGCAGTGGCCCATACCGATGGCACTATGCTATCCTACATGCAGCTACCTCTATCAGCTACTCCTCACGTACCTTGCACAAGACTACATCAATGTGCAATCTCTCAGCACACTATGCTGTTCGGCTGTGCCGAAAGTACTGTAAGACCATCCTCTGCCAGGGCACCTGAAACCTGGACTCCATGTCCGACAGCTTCCGCTCCGTACCTTTCAGGGGTGGTTCGAGAGCTGCCTGGAACGATCCTGGGATTCCTCATGGGTTGGTGACTCATGTGTTTTTCTTCCTGCCTGTCTAGGTCTGTGCCCGGAATGCGGACCTGAACATCTTGATAATTGTCTTGTACACGCGGGTGCACAAACAGTTGTTATCAACATACTTACAACACTTTTTGCCACGTACCTAGCACGCACTTGCCTGAAGACTGCCCGTGATCCCATGGTCGTCTGTTGGAAGGGTTCCTCCATGGCCCCTCATCTCTGAAACACCTTAACAGCCAAAGCTTGAACTATCTTGAAATGCTGGACACCTCAATTTCAATCCCAGAGTTCCCGCACACACGCACACACACACACACATCCCTGGAACACACCCCAGCCACTCCGCCTTTCGAGTGGCCCTCCAGCGTAGTGTCCAACATGGCCTCAAAGTCGTTGAGTCGATTCTCAATGTCCAGATGGCTGTCCTGCCAGGAAGCTCACGAACCCCCACCTGAAAGAAGACATGTTCTGAACTGTACAAGTAAGTACTTTCGCAAGTCTCCGGCGAACATGCTGCCGCACCAGCCTGCATTTCGTGTTCGTGCTGCATGCTCTTGACCGGTCCTTCTGCATGGTGCACTCATCCATGCGACGCTGCACCTGCTGCCATCAGAGCTGTGCAGAAGAGCTCCATCACAAATCCTCAGACGGCCTCAACCATGAAGCCTGAGCCCGAAACTCAGGATACCCATGAATGCCTTGCCTGGAAGTGCAAGCTACACCAACGGAGAGGCTCAGCTTTGCTGGACTTTGCTTACCCCGAAACCTCCAGCCTCAGCGAACTTGGTCTGAAGTTTCTGGTCGAAGGACTCCTGCACGGCCAGTCTAAGCACGGGGAGTTGCCAAAAATTCAGGTCCGGTAGGCTTTGGCCCATGATGCAGAACAGCATCCGTGAACATGTTAGGTTAGGGCGGCTAGGGAGTCGCAAGCATGTATGCACAATCCGATCCCAAAATCCTGTGTACAAAGCCTCGCGCTCTAAACTCTCTCCCGACGCTACAGCCTCCACCCTGTCATGTTGCTTTCTTCGAGGGCACTTCATATGATAGGAAAACACCTTTTTGCGTCCAGGCCTGTTGCGACTAAACCTGAACCCCAAAACCCCGAACCCCAAGGCCTTAAAATCCTTAAACTTGCGACTGAAGCCCTAAGCCCGAAACCCAACCTAAAGCAATCACCCTCTGTCACCCACCGCCGTCTGGGAACCAACCCGAAACCCTATAAGCCCCAAACCCGTTTTTGTTGCCTCCCACCCGCTTTGCTGAGGACAAGCCCGCATTGCAGGGTTCATTGCAGGGTTCAGTAGGGTGTAGGGTTTAGGATATGGTAACCGTTACAGCCCTCCAGAAAGCACTGGAAGCCGGGCTGCCGTCCTGAAGCGACTGCTGGATCTCCTGTACTTCGCTCCGGTGGCTCCTTGGCTCTTCTTTAAGGCACTTAGGTTGTTGGTATGTAGAGGAAGATAAGCAGAAAAGCTGCTAAACATGCAAACATGGATGTGTATGTATGTATGTATGCATGCATGCATGATGTGTGTATATATGTATGTGTGTGTGTGCGCGTGTGTGTCCACACACACACACAACTAACTAACAGCGCGAGACGCACTGTCTTGCTATGTATATGTAATGATACCAGAAAGCACGGCAGGAGTCGGTCCAGCTCTTTCCGCCCTGCAGTAGAGCCGGTTTCTGTCAGACCAGCGGTACAGGAAGCCATGTTCATGTAGGCTCCTTCGCTGGTCGCTGACTTGACTTTACAAACTCGACAGCTCACTACGGTAGGACAGTCATGACGTCAGCAGAAGGTCAGCGTGATGCAGGCTGACGGTCTCCAAGTAAGACCTGTCCAGCCAGGTGTCTTCAAAACTGTACACGAAGATCCATCACTGTGAACCGGAAGGATTAGCGTCGGGTGAGCTGCAGGGCAAAACGCCTCGTAAGCAGACACACCTCAACGAGAAGTATCGTCACCACAACGGGATTTGTTCTTGTGTGCGCACCCCTTGTGCATGCATCACACACACTACTGGTAGCTCTCACTTGCCAGGTCCCCAGCAGCGAATGGTTCAGCCAAGGCTTCGTCCAAAGTCCGCCCCACATCACTCTTGCTCAGCAGAGCTAGAATTTGAGGCTGGCTCGCTGCATGAAAGCAGCGCAATCGCTTCCGGAATGCTTTGGGCCAGCCGCTCGACATCAACTTCAGGGCGCTGAAGCACGGTCCTTGCAACATAGAAGCCGTAGCGGACTTGCGCAAGCTCCGCGACCATGCTTGGATGCGATAGGCGCTGTAGCAAAGCCAGCTGATCCGTGTCGGAACAGTGTGAAAGTGCCGACTCCACGACGTGACTGGCACTGCGGTGAGAAGCGTTTGCCAGCACATCATGAAGAAGAACCTCGGCGATTTGCGCCTTGTACTTCACATCCCCATGCTCCAAGATAGACTGAACCACATGGTGTCCGAAGTTGTGACGGCAAAGGTCCAATGCCTCTGAGGGATCCTCCAAGACTTCTTCGATGAAACGGCGCGTCCCTTCCTGAGAGGAGCAGTGCTCCAAGAGCCGGCAGATGATTCGGCAACCGAAACGATGCCGGACGAATCGAGCGGCATTGCCCAGGAGCTCTTTCGCAATGAATGCGGAAGTTGCGGGACTTAGTTGCGTGATGACCTTCTGGATCACATAGTTGGCATGAGGGGAGACGGCGGCCTCCCGCACATGTCCATGAAGCTCGGCGGCCAAGTCCTTCGCGGTGCAATTGCTGGCCTTCTCCATGGCCAGTTGCACCACCCGGCATCCGTTTGCATCACGAGACCATGGCCAAACCATTCCAGAGATCTCAGACATGGCCAAGGACAGCCCGTCGTTGGACTGCAACTGCTGGCGAAGAGCATCGCAGCGCTCTTTGGAGAGCACGGCACCATCTTCTGCATCCGCGCAGGCGGATTTTTGAATCATGCCTGGTACCTTTGGCTGTGCAGCGCGTGCGTACTGCATGCGCCTGCGTCGGCGAACTTGACTGCGTCCCTCCTCATCCTCCATGGCCGGAGCAAGCTCACCTCCGCCGACCACGTCGGTGTACGGGGTATAGCCATAGCCGTTGAAATTCGCCATGGGCCCCATCTGAGGGGAGCTTGGAGGTTGAGCCGTCCAGGGGACAGCGTAGTCCTGATTGTGAACGGCCATGGGGCCTGCCTGTGGTTGCATGAGAGGCCCGGATGCATTCACGATGACGGGCACCAGCATTGTCACATACGGCTGTCCGAGTGCCTGCGCGACAGGCTGAGGCTGGCTGCATGTGAAGGGCTGGTTGGACTCTGCAATGGCCATGACTTCACACGTCATGCTCGCGGCTAGGCCTGGAGCGAGTGAGATCAGCACAATACTTTGAATTGCGGCTTGAGGCTTGAGCCACGGGTGTTCGGCGGGTTTTGGCCTCTCCTAATTGGAACACATCCCATCGGCCGGATGTACCAAGACTGCCCCGATGCCACAACCTTCACTTGCCGCCAGGCTTCTCGTGGGCGTTCATGAGGGCACGAAGTCCTGCATGTTAACTGCATATTCAATTAGCGAAGCTTGGCTTCGGGCTTTGCTATGCTTTGCTGCTGTCCCACCCACATGCACAGGGAGACAGTGGTTTTCCAAGGATCCCCGGCTTTCGCACCGATGGACGTCGCCAGCGCGTGTCAGGCACCCGGCACTTGCGGCAGCAGCAGGCTCTCACACCCTTGCAAGCGAGCTCTCTTTCTCTTGCTTGCTTGCTTGCTACACTTCTCGATTTGTGCGTGTCATCCTCTCTCTCGCTTTCTCGCTCTCTCTCTTTCTTTCGCCAGGGCTGGGGAGTTTGCCCTTGCTTGCATGCTTGCGTTGGTAAATGCACCTTCGTGGGCAACCGTTGTACTGGGCGCATATTATGGATGCCACAAACGCGACAGACCCTTTGCTGATGTGACTGATATGTTACTATGTCGCTTTTGACTCATTCCGCAACAGTCAACATCATATAAATAGAGTTGTCACAGTGCAAAACCAATCGAGACTCTCGGACGCTTGCAGCAGGTCCTTTGCGTACACGGTCTTGCCACTTGGTGCCTGGAACTGAACCAAGTGCGTATCCACACGAAACATAGTTCGCCTTTTCTCGCCTCCCCTCCCGCCCGACTTAGAAGGCCACATTCACACTCCGGGGTGCCCCAAAGCCCGTAACTTCAACGAGCTCTGCGCATTCAGAGATCACGGAAACCACAGCTCAGAGCCAGGAAAAGCCCAAGCCATGCTGACTTGTGCGATGAGAGGCTGTGCTCCATCACCACGGCATGACCAGCTTTCCACTCATCGATTTGTTGCCTCGGCTGGCCGGTTCCTCCCAAACCTTCCCCAAACTTGCCCAGATAAGCGTCTGTTTTCCCGACGATATTTTCGTCTTCGTGCCTAGCATGAATTGGTACCAAACCTGGAAACCTAGGAAAGCGCATGGACTAGCATCGGACAAGCCAGCGTTGCAGTTTCGTGAGTTGTCTGCTAGCACCGATGCCCACCGAAGATGCAGCAACTGGTCCTTGAGCTGGCAGACCTGCTTGACGCTCACGTCCTGCCCAAGAACCATTCATGAAACGCATATCGCACTTCCCGATAGCGCTTTCCGTCTTGCTGCGACCAGGTTTCCGTCGCACTTCGCAGCTCCGCTACCTGCATGGGGACTTCACAGTGGCCGCACTCTAACTTCAGCCGGAACATCTTTTCTACCCTGCGCCTCCTTACGACCTCGCGTGAGACCACGAACTTATCGAGCTTCAATCTCCGTCTTTGCAGACAGCTCTAACATTTCATAAAACTCAGATTCCGCCGGTGTCCCGGTATAGATATAGCATAACATAACCTTTTGCAGTGAACCACAAAGTACCTTACCACCTGATACAATCTCAATACCATATTAAACCATGTCATAGCTATACCATATCATACAGTAGCATACTACACCGTATTAATCCCTTGTAGGCCCAAGCCTCGCATTCCAGCTTCCTGACGGCCGGGGCTGCCCACGTTTCGAGGCTCTGAAGGCGCTTCTGAGCATCGGAGTCCTACAGGAGAGTAGGGTTTCCGCGCTCACACTCGCACAAGCCGGGCGAGGTTATTGATGCGGAGTCGCATGAGGTAAAACGCTTCCGAGAATGCCCAATCTCCGAAAACAGCAACTGCAAGTGCCATAGTACAGGATATCCTTAGAAGAGATGCTTCAGGAGCCTTGGCACACAGGGCTTTAGAGTGCCATGAGGGCCCTTGTCAACATTGAAGGTTGGCTGCCCAGGTATCTCAAGGCTCCTAAGTGAAACCTACGTGTGATTGGCAGACCATGGGGGAACTTGTAACCAAGTTAACAGAATAGGGTTTGGGTGCATGATTTTAGAATATCAGATGGGGATTATACGGGCAGAATCTTATCATATGGTGGATTAGAAAGGGACGCTGTACGATTTTGTGAGTAGTATACTCCCGCTTTGCAATCATGGTTTGTGGTTTAGGCCTTCCGATGATTGAGGCTTCTATACTGCTATACTGGGGTCTCCTACTTCCTGCAGCTTCATGAGGGCTTCAGGCTTTGAGGCGTTCGGGAGCTTTCGACTCGCACGCTCGCGGGCTTTACGCTCTCACAACTCGGACAAGCCAGGCGAGGTTCATGGTGCGAGGTCGGCTCGCGGGCTTTAGGGTTTCAGCATGAGGAGCCGGGAAGTGTCTTCTCGAATGAATCTCTTGGACAGAAAATTTGGTATCAGAAAACTCAGAAGTCGAGATGAAAGGACTCGTTGCCAGTATGACTCGTTTCACGATCCACTCTCGCATGCCACAACATCTAGCGCAGCAGTTGCGCAAAGACTCCTTCGAAGCTCTCTTCTGCACCTGGGGGGAACCCCAAGCAAAGCTGCTCTGCGGCCCAGACGAAACCGGGTTCTCAGTGAAGGGCAGGGGTCTACATTAAGCAAGATGCTCTCATGATCATTGTAGAACCATCATGTACCATCGGATATTCATGTCGAATTCCCAGGCTCCAGGCATCGGATTCCTTTCGGATTCAGAACCTCCCAAGCTCCGACGGCCCTGCCTCGGTCCGCATCCGGGCCAGGCTCATGTGGGTCTCCTGCACACCTTAAGGGCACATGGCTGCGACTTTGTTTAGGGGGTTTTTTCCCCTCCCACATAGCCAGGACGAGCCCGCATTGCAGGGTAGTTCGGGTAAGCAGAGGCTACGTATGCACTTGACGACCCTTGCGCGTTTAACAAGGGGTTTTAAGGTTTAGGGTGTTAGGGACTTTAGAGCCCAGCTTTGGGATCTCCTGAGCTCAGAAACGGACCCGAGGCTTTGTCAGAATTCTGAAAAACTGTGTCGATCATCCCAAACCCCAAACCGGAGTTTACAAAAAAACCTGGCTCACCACAAGCACCGGCTGAATTCACGCTCTGATTGAGACTTCGCTCAACTTATCGCAGTCTGAAACGTGGAGTGCAAAAGCCAAGAAACTCTGTTGCAAGGTAGCGCCCAAACGTTGCTGGACATCCTTGCTCTCTCGGCATTGCTGCTCCATCAGCTGTGAGGTCTGACGCTGCCTTCGCGGGCTCAGAGGTTCCATAACACCAGGGCGCAGCGATTCGAGGCAGCACACAGGAAGTGAATGTTCAAAGGCCGAGTTAAAAAAGCACCGAAGCCAAGGAGCTCGTGCTTCACAAAATCCACCTCCTGGCATGGGAAAAACTTGTTTGCTCCTGCTCCTCCTTTGCAATGGAAACCGGTGAGGGAGAAGGTTGCACTCGAAGGGGCCGGGCGGGCTCTCAGGTGTTGCTTGTTAAAGTCTGGACTGGAGGTGCCGAAGAAGCCAACTTCAAGCAAGCAACCGAACGATAAGCCGTTAGGGTGAAGGTCCATTCGAGGCACACCTGACAACCCAAGAGAAAGCAGCCAGAAAACCCCTCTCTTTCTCGCTTCGGGAGCTAAAAAGCTTTCGCAGGCCGCCACAGCCCGCAACCACACCGAGGCGTCCGGGAACTCGCCAAACGCCCCTGACGACGCGCCCGACGTGCGGGAGCGGTGGCCGCAGAGAAGCATCTTCGCTTTCAGCTGGGCTCGGGGATCAGACGCGCAGCTGGCCCAGCTCTCTGGAGGCTCTTCTGTCATTCCCACAGGCAAGTCGCAACGGACGCAGTCGTAGGCGGAACTGTCCATGCTGTTGAGAAAGGAGGCCTCATCATCACCACTCACCTCCATTTTCAAATCGAGCTTGCTTCCCGAGTCTCGCAAAGGCAGCTCAGCCAAAACCCAAGGCTGGAATCGCTCCAAAGATCTGACAGCGCCAGCAATGGCCATGGAAAGCCCGTGCCCAGCAGTGGATGCCAAGCCTAGTCTCAGAAGGTCCAAACGATCCACGGCTCCCAGCAGCTGATCAACACTCACCACCGGCACCTTCCTGTTCTTCTTTCCGGGCCCGAAAAAACGGAGATCGGCAAAGGGCATGATACCGGGCTCCTCCACCATCACCGAGCCCTTGGACACAGCTCCGAGGGCTGCTTGGTGGGTGTCGACGTTGGAGACCTGAGCAAGGGCCAGGTTGGCGGTGAGCAGCTGCAGGTTGAGCCTTGAGGGCTCCAGGGCAAGCAGGCGCCCTTGGAGGACCTCTTGCGCCATGGGCACCGTCATCGCACCGATGTGGGCTCCGGCCTCCAAAACCCGACCTGAACCGGGCCCGCCGGGCCCTGCAGGAGAGAGGAGAATGCTGTGAAGCAAGGCCTCCTGGCCTAGCCAGCTGCCGCAGACCTCAAGCATTCGCCCGACCATGATGTCATAGACATTGTACAGCATTGGCCAGCCTTGTGTAAGCCGCACTAAGAAACTTTCGAAACCTGACAACACTATCCAAAGCCTGGCTACTGCAAGAGTTTCACATGCAGCCTCTGTCTTGGTATATCTAGCTCGTCATGCTCGTAGCAGTCTCACTGTAAATACGAGTGATTCTGTGCTGGTATTGCAAACTCACTCTTCCTATACGGCTCCGGCTCGCTGCGCAAGCAGATCGGTTGTGCAACACCACCAGCACCGATATATTTAGCGGCCGGCCTTGTCGTGTGCTTGTGAGTCGGTTCCGGAGCATGGCTGGTTTGTCCTTTGCAAGTCTTGGCTCTTTCCAGTCGCTCCTGAAGCAGATTCGGAGATCCTCTTCGAGTCCAGAGCACTCGGAATGTACTGTTCGCCAGCATTCCTCAGCCCGCCGAAACTCCTTGACGCAGAAGGCTGCACGATCTGAATCTGCAGGCGGCACAGCGGGTTCTGCTGGGCCAGCATCCGAGCGGGCGCTCGTCGCTGAAGTCCGTCGTGGCCGCAGTGCCGTCTGCAACAGCTGGCTGACCCGCTGGCCAACGGAGGCCTGCGAGAAGGTGCTGTGCAAGATCATGCGTGCAGCATTGCGCTCCGTCGGGGACGGAGGCGACACCCAGAACGCAAGAAGTGCTTCAGCCGCCGCGACGCTGTCAGGGGGCGTCCACGATCCCGGTCTGTCATCGCGGCCTCCACTGGGGGTTTGCCGGGGTTTGGGAAGCAGGACCTTTCCCAAGACAACATTCTCGGCCATGGCTGTGGCACCATTGACGATCACTGGAACACCACAGGCCTGGGCCTCGATCACCGGAAGGCCGAAGCCTTCGGCACGACTCAGTTGCAGAAGGACGTCGCTTGCAGTGTAGAGGCTTCGAAGCTGCTCTGGTGACAACCGCTCGCGACTGTTGCTGGCTCCCCCGTCGATCGTGAGGCCCAAGCCGACTTCTGCAAGCAGTGCTCGGATGTCCACAGAACCGTCCAGGTCACAGTGCACGTGCAAGTGGGCTGTGGGCGTGCGGGCACACGCCTCTTGCACGGCGGACCCCTGAAGCTCGTTGCAGAGCTCGGAAATGCGCGAACGGATCTTGGTGAAGGCCCGGATTCCGGCCTTGTGAGACTTCCGATTGGCTTCACCGCTCGGGGGATTGCGTCCCACCAGCAGCACGACAAAGGCCTTCTCCGGCAAGCCAAAGGCCCTCCTCAGCCGCTGCCGCGCCTCGCTCTCAAAGGCCAGAGGCCCCTCGGAGAAGGAGGGCTCCAAGGCATGCGGGACATGTCCCAACAAAGGTGGTAGCCGGAGCGGAGTCGGAGAGGCCAAGGCTCCCTCGTAGACGCCCCGACCCCACACGGACATGGCGATGACACCTCCGAAGACTTCTAAGGCCTGCCCGGACCTGTCTGGGCGCTCCTTGTCATCGCTCAGGAGGGGGTCGAAAAGAATCGGCAACCAGGCCAGCAATGGTGGCAGATGCCCACTCACTCCTGCATCCTTCACCCGGAGAGGAGCGGGCCCAAGCCACCAGGCGTCGTGCAAGTGCAAGATTACATCTGGCTTCCGGAAAGAGCAGGCTGAGCTGCAGTTTTTCTCTGCGGCCTCCAGCAAGTCCACAGCTCTGAGGACTTCCAACCATCCCTCCCCAGTCTCGTGGCCTGTTGGAGGGGCAATACGCGATGTAAGTACTGGAACGCCGGAGAGCAGCACGCGTGGATCTCCCCCTGCCTGTTCCAAAGCATCCGACCTGCCTATCTTGTGCCGGAGCAGAAGCGTCTCGAGATCTTCTGCTGGAGGTTCGCCACGGTGGCGCAGATTCCATGCCAGGAGCTGGACATGCCAGCTCTGCCTCTGGAGTTCAGCCACGAGCAACTGCGCCTGGCCTCCGTATCCCGTCCGACTTATCGGGTGAAGTGTTGACAAGAGAACAGACCTGGGTGGTTCCGGCGGTGTGGCAGCTCTTGCCGTGGCCTCGCCCAGCCAGAAAGCCCAAATCAGGGAAGCCATCTCTTGGCTAAGGCTGGCATCATTCGAGCATGCAGGTTGAGCCAGCCGGCCACGAAATCGCAAGATGCAGCTACCAAGATGTGCGGATCACATACCCTGCAGGGCTTTGATATAGTCAGCCGGGGGCCGGGACATGTCGTTGTTGGCTTCCGCTCTTGTCTTGTTGACCCCTCCCCCTATGACATAGACATTACAGGCAACGTCCTTGCGCAGCTCCACAAGCTGTTGAGCCAGCATGCCGGTCTGGCTCCGGATGAGCTTCCTGCACCCGAGGCTCGGGGAAGCGGAACACTGTCCTATATCATGGCAAGGATAACAACCAGAATAAGTATTGCTGTCGTTCCCGTGGAGAAAGAATTTCAATGGCATGGCAAAAACCGATCTAAGTTTCATCACTATCTGCAGCAGAGGCGCCATTGAGTCATCATCAGATCAGCTTGCTTTTGGTCCTTGGTCTGCGAGACCGACAAACATCGGGATCTACTACAACATCGCGACATAGTGCGGAAGTTTGCGAAAATAAGCGGCCTTTGAAGCTAGCTGAAACAATGGGACCCTCGCGCTGAAGGTTCCTAGACAGGGACCGCAAGCCCCAACTCTAGTCGTGCCCATATCCTTCAGCCAAGGCTCCACTGATTCAAGCTCCTGTGCCCACTCAAAATGTTGTCTGGCAAGGTCTGCTGCTGGCACAGAAGTGAAGGAAGTGCTGCCGGTGCCTAGGCACAGCCAAATCGCTAAGACAATGCATAATCATGAGAGTCATCATCAGTGCGAAATCATCATCATCATCATCATCCTCATCTTCGTCCTTAAAGTCATAATCATACAATGAGATTGGCAACTGTAGTTTTGACTACGGAAAAATAGCAACAAGAACGATAAAACCAAATGGTAATGCAAAACAATGGTGACAATAAAGCATATAAAAGCAGAATGGAAAACAGCAGCAGCAGCAGTAGTAGTAGCAGCAGGAGTAGTAGTAGCAGCAGTAGCAGCAGCAGCAGTAGTAGTCGTCGTCGTCGTAGTAGTAGGAAGAGTAGCAGCAGCAGGAGGAGTAGTAGTAGTAGCAGTACAGTAGTAGCAGTAGAAGTAGTAGAAGTAGTAGTAGTAGTAGTAGTAGTAGTAGCAGGAAGTAGTCGTCGCAGCAGCAGCAGCAGCAGCAGCAGTAGTAGTAGTAGTAGCAGTAGTAGCAGCAGTAGTAGTAGCA